TTTGAGTATTCTAACATGGACAGAAATGTCTTGAATCTGGCTCCTTTTTCCCATCCTTTAATGCCTTGCCTAAGTCCAGGTCCTTATTTCTTATTTGGCTCTTTGCTGGGGTTTCCTGAACTGGGGCTTGTGTTAGCAGGGTCTCAATACTCTTGACTTCTTGTACCTGCTTCTTGAGTTATCTCCTAAAAAACAAAGTGGATTATGTTGCTCACCTCCATCAAAGTCTCTCTCATTTCCGCACTGCCAACAAGATACACTCTAGCCCCTTGGCTTCATAATGTGGCCTCGGTTTACATCCTGGTCCAGCCTCATCTGCTGTCACTAGTGCCATATACCCCAGGCTTCTCCCTCACTGAATTTCTCAATCTTTTCTGATATGACTGGGAAGAAACAAATCCCAGCCCTACCTTTGCACATTTAAGTCCTCAGCCTGGAAAGCCTGCCTCTTATTTCTTCAACTTATTTATCTATTAAGACCCAGACCTGACATTGACTCTTCCATGTCTTGTCCCTTCCACTCCCCAAGGAGAGTTAGTTCCTGTAATCTTGTGTATTCCTATAGCATTTTGTTCTTTCCTTGGACATGGTATTTATTATTCTTTGAACTCTTGAAGTGCGGGATTATGTTATACAGGATAAAGTAACGAGGCAGTCCACCTAAGAAGGTACAGTGGGTTGAATGAGGGGACAAAAAGGTATGTCCACATTCTAATTCTCAAGACCTGTGAATATAATCTTATCTGGGAAAAGGATCTTTGCAGATGTAATTAAGTTAAAGATCTCAAGATGAGTTCATCCTGGATTATTCCAGTGAGTTCCAAATCCAGTGACAGGTGTCCTTGTAAGAAACACACAGAGGACAAACGCATAGAGAAGAGGAAAAGGCCATGTGAAGATGGAGACAGAGACTGGAATTATATAGCTTCAAGTCAAGGAAGGAGCTGGGAGGGGCAAGGAAGGATACTTCCTAGAGCCTTCAGAGGGAGCCCTAGCCTGCTAACACCTTGATTTTGGAATTCTGCCCTCCAGAACTGTGAGAGAATAAATTGTTCTTGTTTTAAGCCACCAAGTTTGTGGTAATTTGTCACAGCAGGCCTAGGAGACTACGTGGAACAATGACAGTAACCTAATAAAATATCATTGTCATCACCATCAATACCATTACCATTATCACTATTTTGCTTATCACTTAGCATGAGACCTGGAAAGTAGTATGTGCTCAGAAAATAGTGGTTGAATGAAAATACAGTTCTTGCCTACAAGCCTCCGGTATAGTGGTGGTGTTGGTGGTGGTGGTGGCGGTGATGAGAGGGGTGTGCTTGCAGTGGTATTAAGAGAGAGCTTCCAAAGTTGATCCCCTCGTAGTTTTTTTTATTTTGTTTTATTTTAAATCTCTTTTTGTGTTGGCGGTAGGGGGTGTGGATTTTTTAAGTGTTTTTTTTTAAAAACTTACACCTTTTCAACACATTTCCCTTTTAGCATAAGACTAATTTTGTAAAGTCTTCTGGGACTTTAAAGTCATAAAGTCCAAAAAACAAATAGTAAAAAAAAGTTGTCTTTAGAAAACTGATGAGCAATTACAGTTTTAACAACAACAAAACATCTTAATATATTTCTACTTTTTTCCTATTAGTATATTTATTAGCTAAAATTAATTTCATGCTGATTGGCCTTAAAGTACCATTTAGAGAGGTACCTTGGAGCAATTATTTTATTGTAGCTATGAAGTACTTGAAAACCAAAATTTACAAATAATCATAAACCCATACTGAGTATAAAAAAAAAAACCAAACCCATTGCTGTCGAGTTGATTTCAACTCATAGCAAACCTTTAGGACAGAGTAGAACTGCCCTATAAGGTTTCTAAGGAGCGGCTGGTGGATTTGAACTGCTGACCTTTTATATGTATTTTGTCTGTAAATTTTAGTTTGCCATTGGAAGCTAGGTCTGAGACTTAATTATTACTAATGTTTTATAAATTGGTATTATAATAAGAGCTAATGTTTATTGAGGTCTTACTATGTGTTGTGTTAGGTACTATTCGAAGCCTTTCACATGAATTAATTCATTTAGTTCTCACAATCACCCTATTAGAAAGGTACTCCTGTTATCTGCCTTTTACTCAAATGGAAACTGAGGCACAGAGTGGTTAAGTAACTTGCCCGAGATCATTGTAGCTAAGTGGCAGAGACTCATCGTGGCCATTGCTGGAAACCTCTGCACTATCCTGACTCTCGGTGCTCTGTGTCAGCATTCGTTGCCTGAAATACAATTAGAAGTGGAGAATATCAGTAAATCTAAATAAAGGATCCTCATCTGATTCCACAGTGCTTCAAACTTCAGTGTGCTTACCTACTGAAATTCTGGTGTATGGGACTGGGAATATGCATTTTTAATAAGCACCTAGGTGGTTCTTGGTGATCTAGTAGTGACTACACAACCCTCACGACTCACTTTACATGAAGGCTTTTTATGGTTGTCATTTGCTTTAGCGAGGCCATCCGTTGCGTGTTATCTGGTTGTGTTCCTGGGTGAGTGTTAGTACAGATACGTATCTAAACTTATGCCTCAAGTGCCCACACAACTAATCAATCTTTTATAGAGAATGAGTAAAAGTCAACACCGGAGAAATTTTTCTAAAACCCTTGGAATGAGCTTCAGGATAGGGTCTATATGACCTGAGGAAATTGTTAAGATGAATGTAAGGTCTGTGTACAGAAGAAAATAAGCAAGATGTAAAATTTCTATCCTAATTAAGTTTTTTGTCTAGAAAAACATTGTAGTTCAGATTGCACTTTACAGTAGGAGTTCCATGATTTGGGTTACTTTAAATACTAACTGTGGCCACGAAAGGAGTCTTCTCTCTTTAGTAAAAAAATTTTCTTACTGAACTACCATTAGTCCTACCAAGAACCTGATTACATCTGTTCTGGTATATGAGAAAAATGCTATACTTTCGGTTTTACTACTTAAGTATCTCAGTTGCATATTAAACTGGTAAAAATATGTTTTTCTTTCTTCTAGGGAGATCACAAATCACAGTGAGCCAGAAACTCCCAGTGTTTTCTTCAGGTACAAACAAAATGAATATTCCTGCACTGCTGCAACATTCTCACCAGCATCTCCGAAAAGGCTTGTTAAGAACACCTTTCCGACGTTACCACTTCATCCTTCCCTCAAGTATTCATCTCAGATCAGGAATCTCGTGTTCTCAGCCATTTAATTCTCTTGAATTCCATTGTACACAGTGGTCACTGCTGTCAAATGGTGTAAAGAGAAAATTATGTGTACAAACAACCTTAAAGGAACACACAGAAGGACTTTCTGATAAAGAACGAAGATTTGTGGATAAACTTTACACTGGTTTAATCCAGGGACAAAGGGCCTGCTTAGCAGAGGCCATAACTCTTATAGAATCGACTCACAACAGGAAAAAAGAGTTGGCCCAGGTGCTTCTTCAGAAAGTATTAGTCTACCACAGAGAACAAGAACAATTAAATAAAGGAAAACCACTAGCATTTCGAGTGGGTCAGTCTCATTTTTTTCCTCCAGTCTGTCCAGTAAATATTATTTTAAATTTTCTCTTCTCTTAAAATAGTTCTAGTTTGCCATCTAATGGGGAATTTTTTTCATTTTAAAATGTTTGCGTGAATTTTAAATGCATTTTCTTTGTAAAATATTAGTCTTGTTTGGTTTAAAAAAAAAAATACCATGTCCATTTGAACCAAGGCTTTGTATTTTAAGAGACTCATATTTCTATTTGGGTGAGAATCTTGCTGTGGTTCCCAGGATGGAAAGATGCATGGGAAGAACTATTAATCAGTTTACTCATTTTTTGTAGTTTCTAATAGTCTAAAGTGAATTTCTTGTTTTTGTGGTTATATCAACTATCACTATCCTTATCACTTTTCAAAATTTAACTCTTACCTATTTCATTAGTCTTGCTATAGGCAAATCTCACTTTTTTCAGATACTTTCTATTAAGTGTAAGAATCTCTTGAGAGTTGCTCTAAACCCAGCCATCTCTATACCAAAATGTATTTTAAGGGAAAGACAATATTCATTTCCTGTCTGTCTAAAAACATGATATGGTCATTTGATTTCTTGAAAAATTGACTGGTTTCTGTAATTGTAAATCAGTTTTTTATATTTTTGGAATCCTGCATTTTAAAACAATTTGTATATGTTTGACCAGCGGGAATTAAATAAGTCGGTTTGGGATAGAAAGAGCTTTTCATGATGCCCAGCTCAGTGATTTGTACCAACCTTCCTGCTAAAGGCAACTTGAAATAGTAGACAAGGTGCAGAAATTTTATGGGGAATGAGTAAATACATTTAAAAACTGACTGACATTACATTAGACTTTTATATTTTTATCTCAGTTTATTGGTAATACCCGTTGCCCTCGAGTCAATTCTGACTCATAGCAACCCTATAGGACAGAGTAGAACTGCCCCACAGGGTTTCCAAGGAGCAGCTGATGGATTTGAAATTATCTTTCAAGCATTTATACCCTGTCATTCTAAAAACTATGGGGTTTTTGGTGATACAGGGACTAAAACCCTGTAGTTTTTAGGGTGACGGTATAAATGCTTGAAACATAATTTCAAAAATAGCCCATCAACCAATATTTGTACTGATCCACATTTTTCACATGTATTATTGTTCTGCCTTCACTGATAAGCACTTGAGCTCTTTTTGAGATCATTACATTGGGCAGTATATAAATACACACATACACACACACACGTATTCATTCTTTATCTAGACACACAGGAGCCTGGTGGTGCAGTGGTTAAGAGCTACAGCTGCTAACCAAAAGGTTAGCAGTTCTAGTCCACCAGCTGCTTCTTGGAAACCCTATGGGGCAGTTCTACTCTGTCCTATAAGGTTGCTATAAGTCGAAATCGAATCAATGGCAACGGGAAAAAGACAGACAAAACAACAAGCTCCCCAAGAGAAATTCTAGTTATTACAAAGTGTTTATTTATCAGGTATTAGGGACTCTTTGAAATTGCAAATGTCCCAGAAATGTCTGGAATCAGGCGGCCTCTAATTTCTAGATGAGCTTGGGCTCATTGAAAGAGGGAATTCTGTGGGGCAACTCACAAATTTGTGGTGTATTCCGGTTCTCCCACGCTGGCCTTATGACGCCAGATGAACCTGTATCTTTATTCAATTATTTTAGCACCATTGTAAATAACAGCAACAAATGTTTATTCCCATAAGACAGGGACCTGCCCTGGGAATTGTGGTAAGGATTCAAGCAGAACCTTCCCATATACCATACGTACTTGGTTTATGATTACAATTGAATGCCTATGGTGTATATGGGTAAATGAATATAAGCTCTGTATCTCTTACTATATACCAAGCACTGTTCTAAACGCAATGCAAGCATTAAATCATTTAACCCTTACAACAACCTGAAGAGAGATACAAGTATTATATCTATTTTACTGCGGAGGATACTGAGGCCTAGAAAGGTTAAGTGTCTTGCCCGAGATTACACAGCTTGTAAGGCAGAACTGGAATGAGAACCAGCCAACTGGCTCCAGGGTTTGTGCTCCTACCTGCCATGCTCTACTAACTCTCCAAGTGGGGAGATTTTCTACCTTTCTTTAGACAAATTTTTTTTTTTCCAGGATTCCGTTTATATAGTACTCTTTGCGTTATGAGTGGAATTAAGAAAAAAAAAAAAACCTTATCCATTACAAATATAAAATTATTTTCTTAATCACTGGCTATTTCTAGAGTCATGAATTGTTTTTCTAATGGGAACATAAAATGTGCAGAGTTGGGATAGGTGGAATACTTACTGACTGTTGTCAGAGGTGGGCAGATGTTGTAGAAGTTCAGTGCATTAACAACATAAGCAATGAAGCCTATCCAGAAAGATCTACACTATAGAAGAAAGGTAAAGCACATTTTATAATTTTTAAAAATAGATTTTGTGAACAGATGGAACTCAGAATTATTTCTTTCCTATATCCCTATTACTCACGAATAGGTAAATTAATTTCGTTTACTACTTTGGGAAGCATTAGATACCTTAATGGTTTCAATTCAATAAATGAGGAAATACAGAAGGTAGTCTAATAGTTTATTCACTAGAACTCATCATAGTGCTAATCTCATTTGTTTCATTAAGTTAGATCTTTTTCCATTTTAGGACTGTCGGGGCCCCCTGGTGCTGGAAAATCAACATTTATAGAATATTTTGGAAAAATGCTTACTGAGAGAGGGCGCAAAGTATCTGTGCTAGCTGTGGACCCTTCTTCTTGTACTAGTGGTGGTGAGTATTGCTGGTTCTTTTTAAATTGCAGAGCAGGGGGTCCTGGGGGGTCTCTGTCACAGTATAGTGAGAATTGGCTCAGTCAGGGGGCCTCTAATTGCTGGCTGAGCTTCAGCTCGCTATAAGAAAGGGAGGTCTGTGGGCAAGCCGGAGGCTGAGGGAGGGGTCGGGGAGCGCTGGGCTCACTGGAGAGGTCAGGTTATGTGTAGACCAGGAGTAGCCGAACTGGGAGAGCAGGTGCCAGAAGTGGAAGATAAGCAAAAGCAAACCCCGGCCCTTTAGCTATCCTAAGGTCAGGCCTCCTTGCTCCTGTTGTTTTTCCTGGCTGCATCAGCAGCTACTCAGTTCAGAAAATGGGTTCTTACTCCTTATTCTGCTCATATTGTTGTAATATCTCTTTTGTTAAACTTTAAAAAATAAAAAAATCTTACTGCTGTTCACAGCTTGTTGTATTAGCTTGTTATACAGCTTGTTCGTATTATATGTTCAGTTAAACAGAAAGGATCAAGTAATGTACTGCTGTTCCCACAACAGCGCTTAGCATAGTATGTTGCACACAGTGTTTATCAGTTACTTACTGATTTGAGGTCAGGCAGTCACTCAAAGTTTAATCTGCGGCACACCAGAGATAAAATGGATATAAACGTAGTCCCCCGAAGGACCATTTAAAGGAAACAGAAAGCATACCATATAAATACCCAGGAAAGGTTTTTCTTCCATTACCACCTCTTTATGATTTTAGCTTCTCGTGTTCCAATTGCTCATTTAACAATTGTTTGATTGCCTACTGTAGGTGAGGCATTGTGCAAGGATGATACTGTGTGTATAATGGTATAAGACACAGTCCTCTTGGCTTTATGGGGCTTCGTATCTTAGGAGGGAAACAGTTAAGTAAACAGGCTATTATAGTATAACGTGTTGTAAAGGGGTAGAGTGCTTGGTAGGAATATTTGGTTTGTATACTGTGGATTTAGTACTTAAAAATAAAGATGATATAATCGTATTTCAGGGGCTTTAGGTCATTAGAGATGGAATCCCAGGGTGGTACAAATGCTTAAGCACTCGGCTACTAACTGAAAGGTTGGTGGTTCGAACCCACCTAGAGGTGCCTCAGAAGAACGGCCTGGCAGTCTATTTCCAAAAGGTCACAGCCATTGAAAACCCTATGGTGGACAGTTCTACTCTGAAACACATGGGGTTGCTGTGAATTGGAACCGACTCAACGGCAACTGGTTTAGTTTTTTGGTTTTAGGTCATTGGAGAGGTGGATAATTCCTGTTACCACCCAGAGAGGAATTGAGCTCAGAACATTCAAAGCTTTGGGTTCACTATAATAAAAAGTTAACTGTAAAATAAAATCTATACTCACACAGTTCAATGTAATGTCTAATTTATTTATCATCTAAGAACTTTGTTAAAGGTAAGTATCTGAACAAGGAATTTTTCTTGTAAGTGGCCCTCATTTTCATGTAGGTGAGAAGGCTCTCTCTCTCTCTTTTTTTTTTTTTTTTTAACCTTTATAACATTCTAGAATACCTGCAATAGAAAAAGAAAATGATTACATGAGAAAATAATACTTAGCAGGAATGATGTCATATGATAGTCTGTGATTAAAGTTGTATAGCTGTATGGTTTCTAACCTTTCTCAAACAAAAAATAAGGCCCCGTTTCTCAGGTAAGAAATATGTGTAGACTTTGAAAGAAGAAAATACATGAGAATAAACAGGACACTATAAATCAATTTCTACCTTATTGCATTAGTACATACATTTGAAAAATAGTACATTAAAATTTAAGAAGTGTTAGTTTTTTGGTTCATAGTCAATCCTTGCTGCGCCTTTGGATTCACAGACCCCTTGTAATAGCTTTGAGAACTCCCTGAGGGTCTGCAACCAACAGTTTGGAATTCATTGACAACTACAATTATATGGGAAAGTAACTTTATCATGTTTGGTTTAGTTATGCTAGGATCTGTAGGATAATGACTTGAAGTATAGCTTTGGTGGGTTGTTGACTTAAACAGATGATTTCATGCAGAAAATGAGTTTAGAAAGTTTTACATAAAGTAAGTAAGATAATTGAGATATGTGGTAGGTGTATGCTCTAGAATTAGAACCTGTGAAACCATAGGAGAACAGGGCTCATCTTTAGGGAGCTTCTCAATGTTTCGCATTAACTTTATGTAGACAAGGTAGCTCTTAAAACCTGTTGCCATCAATTCAATTCTGACTCATAGCGACCCTGTAGGACAGAGTAGAACTTCCCCATAGGGTTTCCAAGGAGTGGCTGGTGGATTCGAACTGCTGATCTTTTGGTTAGCAGCCCAGCTCTTACCCACTGTGCCACCAGGGCTCCAGTTAGCTCTTAGGCAGAGTGAAAATAAAAATTCAGGCTAGAACAGTACTGCATCTTCAAATACATATGGCTAGAAAAAAGGAATACTCATAGGGTTGCCATAAGTCAAAATCAACTCGACAGCAACTAACAACAATAAAGAAAAGAATAAGAAGTCATCTCAGTAGTTCCAGGACTTTCAGTCTTCTAGGATTTGCAAGTATTGACACTTGCCAAAATATAGCATTAGACCTTAAGACATAATCAGTTCTATTCCACTATTGAGTGCCTACTGTGAACACTTTGATAAGCATTCAGTATACAAAATACGTAAGATCTAGTCTTACAAGCAAGGAATTTATGTTATGTTAAAGCAGGGTTTCTCAACCTGGGCACTAATGACATTTCGGGCCGGATGATTCTTGGTTGTGAGGAGCTACCCTGTGCATTGTAAGATATTTAGCAGCATCGCTGGCCTCTACCCACTAGATGCCAGCAGCACCCTAACCCCCAATTGTGACAACTACAGATGTTTTTAGACATTGCCAAATGTCCCCTGGGGGGCAAAATCACCCCCAGTTGAGAACCACTCTTTTGCTTCCATTCACTCAGCTCACATTGCTTTCTGTGGAGGCTCTGGAATGTTGAGGTAGTAAGGCCTTAGAGGAGTCCTGAGTGGCACCAACAATTAAGAGTTTGGCTACTGACTGAAAGATTGATGGTTAGACTCTACCCAAAGGTGCCTCCCAAGAAAGGCCTGGTTGTTCAATTAAACAGAAAGATCACAGCCTTTGAATAGCCTTTGGAGCATAGTTCTAGTCTGAAACACTTTGGGGTTGTCATGGGTCAAAATCAACTCAACGGCAACTGTTAAGGGCTTAGAAGCAACAGGCTGGTTGGAAGGGCAACTTGAAGATGCGTTTGCATAGCACTTTGTATAAGGTTGAGAAAGTGTCATTTCTACAAATAAAGGAATAGGGAGCAGAGAGTGCTGGTGGAGATAATAGAAAGGGGAAGGGACTTGAGTGCTCATACACTCCAGGATGCTGGTAGAGTGCAGAGCAGTTGTACTACAGAAATTCACAGAGATGGTCCTGGGGTGGGAAAGTTCCAGAAAGACTTGATGAAGAAGCTAGGACTTTAACTGATCTTTGGAGAGTAGATAAGTTATGTAAGTTTTTGGTGTTAACAGTTTTTGAATGATGTTGATATATATAATCTCATTTGATTCTCCCAGTGGCTTATTATCTTTGTTGTGTAGCTGAAGAAAGTGGGGTTTAGGAAGGTGAAGTGACCTGCCCGGAATAGGGTAGTGAGGAATGGTGGAACCAGGATGCAGACTCTGGGCTTGACACATTTTAAATTGACAGTGAGAAAAAGGACGAGATGACGGGTCTGGTGTGAGAGTACAAACAAAGGAAGGAAAAAGTAAATGTAACCATGTTAAGATGACGGTAAAGAAACCATTCCGGATTGATTTGGGACTAGTGGAGGTTGAAATTGGGAAAGTAAGGTGGGGCTGGGTTCTGAGGGCTTTTGATGCTAGGCTGAAGGATCTAGGTTTGAACCTCTAGTCAGTGGGAAGCCGTTATAGGTTTTGAGGGGCTTAACATGATAAAAAGGAGCACTGATGGCTCAGTGGTTAAGTGCTCGGCTGCTAACCAAAAGGTCAGCAGTTCGAACCCACCAGCCACTCGGGGGGAGTCTGCTTCTGTAAAGATTACAGCCTTGGAAACTATGGGGCAGTTCTGCTCTGTCCTACAGGGTCACTTTGAGTCAGAATCGACTTGACAGCAGTGGTTTGGTTGGTTTAGAACTTGACAAAAAGATTAATCTAGCATCATTGTACACTGTGAGTTGGAGGGAAAACTTGATAATATTAAGTACAATTTGAGATTTTGGGAGAAATGTCATAAAGCACTTCCCCTAGGAACTGACTGATTGATATCGGCCTTTATAACTCTTCCACGATTATAAAACATAACTATGTGTTTTAGGATCACTCTTAGGTGATAAAACCCGAATGACTGAGTTGTCAAGAGATATGAATGCATACATCAGGCCATCTCCTACTAGAGGGACTTTAGGAGGTGTGACAAGGACCACAAATGAAGCTATTCTGTTGTGTGAAGGAGGGGGATATGACATCATTCTTATTGAAACTGTAGGTGAGTGTAATTTTCTATTTCATAAAAATAAAATACTAGTATAATGAAAGTTAAATAAAGGTAACAATTTCATTTTTGTTCATTCAGCTGATATTTATTAAAGGTATAATTAAATACAAGATATTATCCCAGACTCTGGAGGAGATATGAGTATATAGGCTATAATCCCTATCCTCAAAGAGTTTACCATTTAAAATTCGAAAATAAGCCATGTATCTGAGTAACATATATAAGGTGGTATATTATAAGTGATGGAGAACTGTAAGCATTGGGATGACTTATGGAAACAGTGCTTTAATACAACACCTATTTTGTGTAAGCACATTTTACATATCTACGATATTCGCTAAGAAACTTAATGTAGTTGGGTGTCTCTTAAACATGGGACCATGTTTTATTTCGTATTTATAGCCCCAGCACATAGCTATATGCAATAAGGATACTAAGATGAAAACCTCAAGAAATTGACATGCTTGTGGAAGACAAAATATTATGTTACTTTGTATAAATGTTAATGACAGAGCCTAACCCAGATTTGGGGCGTCAAGGAAGACTTTCTGGAGGAGGTGACAACTGAGCTCCATTTTGAAGGGAAAAAATGGAGTTAAGCAAAGTATGGGGTAAAGGGCATTTGCAGAGACACATAGGAGTGAGAGAACATGTCCCCATTCAGAGAACTCGGGTTTGCTTAGGATACTTAGAACATAGATTGTGAAAGCAGGGAGTGAAGAGAGATGGGGCTGGAGCAGAAGGCCAGGGCCAGGTTGTCAAGGACCTTACATGCCATGCCACAGAGTTTGGACTTCACCCTGAAGTAGTAGGAAGCCATGGCAGGATTATAAGCAGGAGAGTGACAAAACCAGATATGCATTTTGGAAAGATCCCCAGTAGCAGAGAATTGAATAAAGAGCTAGAGTAGAGTCAGGGAGGCAGTTAGGAGACTGTTTTACTAATCCCAGAAAGAGATACTGGGCCTGAGCCAAGTAGTGGCAATGAGAACGGAGAAGATGAGATGGGTTGAGAAAACATTGAGGGTAAATTGGCAGGACTTTATCCATGATTGGAAAGAAGAGATTAGGAAAGAAGAGCAATTAAGGAAAATAGAGAATTCTGGGGGAAAGGGCAGATCTGGAGAGGAGAAAATAATGAGTTCAGTGGTGAATATATTAAATTTGAGATGCTTGTTGGATATCCAAGTGACCATGTGTCTCAAGAGAGGACTAAGTGAGAAATATAGATTTAGCAGTTGTCAGCATACTTCATAGTTTCACAGTTCAAGCTATGAATTTGGTGAGATCAGCAGGGGAAATATGTATCAAAAACAGAAGATAACCAAGACGGGACCTCAGAAATTCTGATATTTAAGAGTGGTTGGGGGAAGAGCTACCTGAGTGATAGTAGGAAAATCAAGGGACAAGGTTAGTATCATAAAAACAAGGTGTATTTATTACCCGCAAGTTGCATTTGGCTGTTTGTCCCACAGACTTAAAATATCAGTGGCTCAAACAAGAAAGGGGTTTATTTTCTCCTAAATAAAAGAAGCCTGGAGGCAGGCAGTCCAGAGTAGGTGTGGTGGTTCTACAGTGTCCTCAGTGGTCCCAGGCTTCTTCTGTCTCTCTGTTCTCCCTTCTTAGCTCTTGGTTTCCATTCTCAAGGTTGCTCCTGGTTTAAAAATGACTGATGAAGGTCTAGCTGTCACATCCATGTTCCAGGTAGAATGAAGGAGGAAGGGGGAGTAAGGAAGGCGGGGTAGGCACAAGAGGTATACCTCCCAGCTGGATTGGCCCTCCTTAAAGAACTTTCCTGGAAGCCCCATCTAATGACTTTGCTTTTACTCCTTAATCATCTGGAGGGAGCCTGGTGAATGTGGTCATTCACATGGTACATTGATACTCCTAATAACATTGGGATAAGGAAATAGGGAAGAATAGACATTGACTAGGCAGCTAGAAAGAAGTCTCTGCCGCAGCATGGAAGGAGAGAGTTTCAAGAGGAGTTTGTTGTGTCCACAGTTTGAGTAGAGCAGTCAGTGTGCAAGCTAGATGTAAGTAGGTTGGGATTCATGTGAAGTGGGGAAGTGGAGACAGTGAGCAGAAATTACTTTTTTTCCAGAAGCTTGGTTATAAAGGGAGAGTGAGAAATATGGTGACAGTTAGAGGAGGATGTGAGTTTTTGTTTTTTATCTTGTTTGATTTTAAGATGAGAAAGACCTGAACACAATTTTTGTGGTGTGGCAAGGGACGAGAATCTGTAGACAAAGGGAAGGTTAAAGATAAAGAAGAATGAGGGCCTAAAAGAAGTGGAAAGGAAGGAGAGGTTAATCTTCAGCCAATACTTCTTACACTGAGACAGGAGAGGAGGCAGTAAGGATGAGTTTGTATCCATTTATCTGTGGAGCAAGAGAGGGAGAAGCGGAGGAAGTTCCCACCTTACTTCTGTGAAGTAGGTGCCCTGTCATCCGGTGGGGAGATTATGGGAGAGCGAATGTCTGTAACAGCCGCTGTGGGAAAGGAGACTGACTGAGGGCCTTTAGCGATTACTTGTACTAGGCAGTGAGGAAGATGGAGTAGATGTTGAAGACCATGACTGTAGTGGCACCATTCACAAGGCTGAGTGAGTTCTCCAGCATGCTGTCAGAGGAGACAACACAGCTGGTTGACTGATTTACAGCTGAGGGTTTGCAGGGCTGGTATAAGGATGAGAAGGCACAAAAGCAGAAAGCATTGACAAGAATGGTTTAAGATTAGAATCACAGTGTTCGGGCTGCTCACTGATGAAAGGAAAGCCAAGAAAGCGCTGTGAGAGTGAAGAGAGAATGGAGGTCCCTAGGTCCTCCTCTGGTCAAAGACTAGATCTCTTGGGAGAAGGGGAAGGAGAGAGCTGGGAACAATAGTGGGCTTGCTCCTGTGGAGGCATTTAATAAATTCTTCAGAGCTGACGTGTTTCAAGTGGTAACCAGGTTGAGGGTGTGACCAAGGGTGTGAATGAGTGGAGTGGAATACAAACAATGGCCAGTGCAGTTGAGAAAGTCAAATAACCGAGTATTTTCGCCTGCGGTTGTGATTTAAAATTTCAGGTGTGGGTCAGTCAGAGTTTGCTGTCGCTGACATGGTTGACATGTTTGTTTTACTACTGCCGCCAGCAGGAGGAGATGAATTGCAGGTAATTATTTTCTGGTTTTAGTTTTCTAAAATGCAGAGTATGGATCTCTGAAAGTACCAATTTCCAGTGTTGTGTTTTTGTAAATTAAGTTAATAAAAGCACAGAGAAAGAAACATCAGTGGCTAAAATACCTGAGTCGAAGACAGATTTTCTATATTTCACAAATATATTATATTAGTAATAGAACTTATAACCTTGAGCTAATCATATAATTTAATTTTCTACCTGTAACGTGGGAGTGAATGGAATACATGGATACCTCCAGCCAAAAGAGACCGTTGTTGAATGGCTGTTTGTAGTTGCTGTCACTTCTGACTCATGGTGACCCCATGTGTGTCAGAGTAGAATTGTGCTCCATAGCATTTTCGATGGCTGATTTTTCAAAGTAGATCACCAGGACTTTCTTCCAGGGTGCCTCTGGTGAACTCACACCTCCAACCTTTCAGTTAGCAGCCAAACCCTTAACTGTTTACTCAGGGACTCCATTTGTAGTATATTTGGATCAAAAGTTTCTCATACGATATTACTGGAATCCTACTATCATAAGTTTACCTATTATAAAATAGGATTTTTACTAAAATACCTTTCATGTGTATAATTCTAAAATAGTAATAGACAATAGATGCTGTGATTTAGAAGCATTAACCATTGGAATTTAATGATTGAAAGTTGTGTTTTAAAATATTTGAAAACAGTGTTTAATCTTAGTGGGAAAAATTTGTATCTTCCAAATAAGGTGTGGCCTTTGGATTTCATTCTTTATCTCTAGTATTTTTTATGCAGCATAATTTAAGTCAAGAGACTGGAGCACTTTCAGCCATAAGATTATTTTTCCTCAATTTGGAAATTGAAAAAAAAAAATGCTATGTACCTCCAGAGAAAATTTCAAAGACTATTTTTCAAGAAATGCGAATGTTACTGATATGTGTGTTTTCTTTTTAAGCACCTTAATAATAGATGGTTTTGTAGTAGCTCATAAGAAGCGGATCCATCAAGAGACAAAGTGAACTGTCTCCTGCCACTCAATCCTGTTGTGTCTTGATGATATATTTATTCTAATTCTGAATGTATTTCAACATGTTAGCCTCTAAACTTGGAAGAGATATTACAGATGACCTTCATAATCCCAAAAGCCAGTGTTTTTGAGTAATTTCTGTCAAGTAATTATAGTTCTGGCACCCAGGGTTTAAGAAGATGCAAAGAAAAAATTAATGAAATGTATGACTTTCAAAATCCTAGCATTGACTGGTTTTCTCATTCTTATGCTGGCTATGATTAAATTAAGTGTTTCTGATAGCTCTACTTCTTCCCTTTTTCTCTGTAGGGTATCAAAAGGGGTATCATTGAGATGGCCGATCTGGTTGCCATAACTAAATGTGATGGAGACTTGATTGTACCAGCTCGAAGGATACAAGCAGAATATATGAGTGCCCTGAAGTTACTCCGCAAACGTTCCAAAGCCTGGAGACCAAAGGTTAGTTTGTATTGCTTTCTACGTTTTTCACCCTGAGTGGACTGTGCACGTTCTGAGAGAGAATGTAAATCCCAAGCTCAACGTATAATCAATCTTTGCTTGTATGTGAAGATTACAAGTTTAAAAATTATGATAAAGTGAGAGTGTGTAGTTATGATTTTAAATATAATCCTTCAGCCACTAGATGTCAAAAACTAGATGTGAGGTGATACATTAGGGTGCTTCATGCTTGATTGGAGCCATTTGGAAGTGATAACAAATCCATTCTGAAAGGAACTATCCTTAAGATGATAGAGCTATAAGATTATAGAGCACTTAATGATTAGATTCTCTATGCTGGAGCTGGAGTAAGAGAGGAAAGGCTTATGATATGATACTTTCCTTCCTATTATGCTCGTTGGGTGCTGTTTTTAATAAGAAAACCCCAAAAAAATCGTACGAGTGATGTGATAATATTAATGTGAGCAGCTTTATCTGCAGGAGGATACTATGTTATTAAAGAATAAGCTGTAATTATTAATGAGAACACTGGTGACATACCTTACCTTCAGCTCCCAGTTTTCCCCAATCACATTGTCTTTGTTGAGTTTGGAACCATTTTATACATGCAGATGTTATTTGCTCAGCTCTAACCACTTGCTGAATCAGGAAATTTTGACAGAGAGAATGGGGCTATTTTCTCAACTCTGCTTCGTTTTCTGGCACTCAGGTCTCAGGGAAACCTACCTGGCATTGCCCTTCTCATCTTCAGGACTTTCAGAGTTCCTCCACAATGCCTCCTGAAGACCATATGAGCAATCTTAAAATAAATATGTGGGCTAAATATTGGACCTTGAATCAGTGTCTTACATTTTCTGTGTACTTTGTAATCTTAGGAAACTTACCTCAGTCTGTATCTCAGTATATTTACTTTGCCACAGTGGTAAAATGTATCATTTTTGTCACTTGACTATTTCCAAAGGCTGTAAAAATTAATTGGCAAATATCAGAGTTCCTCATAAAAATGCCTTCTCATTTTAAGTAAAATGATTCTGGTTCTTCCCTTTTCAATAGGTAATTCGTATTTCTTCCAGAAGTGGAGAGGGGGTCACTGAAATGTGGGATAAAATGCAAGAATTCCAGGAGCTAATGCTTGCCAGTGGGGAGCTGACCACCAGGCGACAGAAGCAGCAGAAAGTCTGGATGTGGAATCTCATCCAGGAAAGTGTGTTAGAACATTTCAGGACCCATCCCACAGTGCGGGAACAGATTCCTCTTCTGGAAAGAAGGGTTCTCACTGGGGCTCTGTCTCCAGGACTAGCAGCAGACTTGCTGTTGAAAGCTTTTAAAGACGGAGACTGACACAATTTATTTTGTACACTAAATTGATGTAAGTTTCATAAGTTATGTTAATATTAAAAATCACTTACAATGCTTATATTTTCAGCCATTCTTTTGTGGTGCCGTTGGCTTCTTTATTTGTGAACCATGCTTGAAAACCTGAAGAAAATAACAAAGCTTAGGGAGTCAGGCAATATTTATAAGGTACTGTTGTATGTTATTGATTTTCTTTCTTTCTCTTATACCCTCGTTTGGTCTCCTGTAGGATTGTTTCCTCTCATGGGTTGGGGGCAGAGATAGCTCAGGAGGACAGGAAGATCACACACCTAGAATGCTTCCTTTATTCTATATTCTCTAAGATTTCAAAGAAAATGTGAGCAAGAGTGACCACAATTTTGAAGTCTTACTTGAGGCCAGAACAGTACACAGTGGACTCCTCTAAGGGCTTAAAATCATGATTGACGTTTAGTGTACTAGACTATTCTAGCAATTTCTGAAATGGCCACGTGCATGAGAAGCTGGAATGATGTAGTGATG